GTGTCGGGCAGGTCGAAGCTGAAGTCGCTGTTGTTGGCGGCGACGCCGGTGCGGGTGGTGGCGTAGTTTGTGAACTCGATCAGCGATGTGCCGATGATGGTGTTGGTGATGGTGTTGCCGACGGAGACGTTGGCGATGCCGGTGTGGGGGGCACCGATCCGGACGAGCATGTTGACCGTCTCGCCGGGGCTGTAGGACTGGATGTTGGCGGCGGGGTTGTCCTCGAACTTGAAGGCCTTGCAGAGGTTGAGGTTGCAGTCGGCCGAGGCGAGAGAGGCGTCACGGCCCTGCTCCATGCCCTGGATGTTGCCGAGGGGGTCGGAGTTGATCATGTTGAACATGGTGTTACCGCAAGCGGCACGGAAGGCATCGCCGACGGGACGGGGCGGCGGCGAGGTGACGATGCCGTGGGCCGAGACGGCGGCAACGATGGAGAGGAGGGACATGATCTTGGAGGCCATCTTGTCGGTTGGTTGGTCTGTTGGATGGTTTATTTTATTTCGGAAAGAAAAAAGTGAAGAATCGTCCAGTGATCTACCTGGAGGATACGGATGAAAAAGAATGAATAGCTTGGAGCTTGTTTGAAAGAACGACTTGTGACTAGCACAGTAAAGAACGTCAGAGCGAACGAACGAGTAAGAGAATGAAACTCGAAGAAATTGTAAACGGACTGGATGGGAATGGATCAAAGAGAGGTCGTCTTGGAAGAACGAGCAAACTGGGTTGATGGCTCTTATACCATCTCGGTCAGGTCAGGCCAGGCCTGGCCCCGGTTCAGAGACGAGCAAGCCATACATCAGATAGCCAAGCTCAGTCCTGGAGCCTTGACGATGCTTGCTTTGCTCACCTCATGTCGCATCCCTGTCGTGGTCGTCCCCTTTCTGTCAAAAGCCAATCTAACGGCCGGTCAGACCAGGCCGAGCAAGGCTTCGCTCCCTCATCACGATGCCTCGGCGGGCACTCAGGTCCTGGTCATACCCGCAAAAAGAGCCACGCAAAGACAGACACAAGGGGGGTCAATAGGGTCAATAGGGTCAATAGGCGAGCAAGTGTCAGCGCTGGCGGCAAGGTTGGCGATTGGACAGGCAAGGTGTGGTCCATCGTCTAAACCACGTTGAGGCTCATCGGCCGAGTTCTGGACCCCACGATTCCCTGTCGAGAAAAACACTCGTACATGGTGCCCCCCAGCCAGCCGTCCCCCGGTGAAGTGAAGCTTCCAGGATGTCCAGGGCCAGGAAGAGATCCTCAGGCCATGCTCACTGTCCGTATACAGCCGCAGAAGAGAGCCGACGACCCCCTGAACAGGGATCGTCTCAGGTGTCCGCATGGACTGAAACAGCGAGCGCCCCAACCTCACCCCTCTTCTCTTCGATCTGGAGTTCTGAACCTCGTCATCCCTCCCAAGCCTCCCAAGCCTCCAAGCCTCCCAAAGCTATCTTTACCTCCTGTCACCACTGGCCACCCATCAGCAGCAAGAGACTTGTCAGGTTTGACGCGCGCCTCTCCCGCCTCCCTCAAGATATGCCCCTCCCCAGGTCTTGGCCGGAAATTTGGCCAGTTTCAAGCAGACAGCACAGTCGCGCCAGTGAAAGGCCCCCCATCGCGGCGTCCACCCTCTTCCCAGACACCCTCATGCGCCTTTCAATCCGCGGCAGAGCCACGTCTTCTCAATGTCATGCCCGTCATGCCCGCCCCGTCGCTCGCTTCCCTATCGCTTCTGTCGCCCGACTCTTGTTGAAATTGAAAAAGGGAACTTCCAAGCGTCCTGGCCTGCTGTCGCTGGACTGGCAGCTGTCTGTCGGTCATGCCCGTGCCCGTGCTCGCGCTCCCCGGCTCGCATGGTCGGCTGAGCGACGTTTCACATCTCGTTGACCCTCCCTCTCTTCCTTTTGCCTCCCCCTTCTCCAATCTATTCGCTACCGAACATACTTGTCGTGCCATTCGCCTCGGCTGTCCCCGTCCGATCTCGTACCACCGATCCTCTCTCACTGATCGTCTCTGACCGCCCAGATGTAGCCGTTTGCTGTGAAGCCGACCATGCGACAAATGTTTGCCCCTTTGAACAGTACGCATCTGAGCAGGTCCCCCTACCGCCCAGCCTCCCCCCCCCCCTAGATTGGACCACCACAGCGGCAGAACCAGGGCGGCGGAATCGCCAAGCTGCGACGGCCCGGACTCGGATCCGAACGTGGGGGGCAGCTCCCGACAAGACATGGGCACGAAACCGAAGTAGAAATTATCAGTCACTCGAGATTGACCGCTCCAAGGGGGGGAGAGGGCCACAATTAATGGAGGAGAAAAATAAAATAGCCATTTTAATCATCACAATCGTCGCCAGTGTACAAATAAACGTCAAAGCACCTCCCCTCGCTTGCTCATCCATCTACCCCCTCCAACTGAGATGCCCGCCTTGGCAACGCCCCAGGAACCTTGTGCGGTCCCACGCTCTCCAGCGTCGGCGTCACCTTCTTGAACAACCCCGTCTCGCCGTCAATCTCGAGCCTGTCAATCATCGTCTCCCGCCGGAACCCGCCGCCGCCAGGGATCCCGAATCGATGGTACACAATGTACCAATCGTCCGTCCCCGGCACATTGAGCACGGAGCTGTGTCCCGTGCCCAGGATGCCTTGTGAAGGATCCTTTTCGAGGATCACGCCGTGGTATGTGAACGGGCCGAGGGCGTTGTCTGCTGTCGCATAACCCACGCGGTAATTGACCGACCCCGTATCGTCGATCGAGTAGGTCAGATGATACACCCCGTCACGGTAGTTCATGAAGACGCCCTCGCGGAAGTCCACGAGTCCTTCCAACACCCGTGTCGTGCCCTCCTTGAGCGATACCATGTCATCGCCGAGCTCCGCCACGAGGCCCGGGTTGCCGTTGCCCCAGTAAATGTACCACTTGCCCGTCTCCGGGTCCTCAAAGGTTGCTGGATCGATCGCCTGGCCCGTCTTGGGCGTTCCGTCGTTGAGTATCATCGCCTGTGGTTCCGCCGTGAATGGCCCTTCGGGGTGGTCCGCCACCGCCACGCCGATCGTCTTGCGGTCGTAGATGGCATTGTGCCCGCTGAAGTAGAAGTAGTACTTGCCGTCGCGCCGGGCAATCGTCGGCGCCCATGCGTTGCCCGTCGCCCATGGCACGTTGCCGTTCTCTCCATCGAGCGTCAGGAAGGGCTCCTCGCCGCGCGTCCAGGACACGAGGTCAGCCGACTTCCACCAGTAGAACACATTGCCGCCCCAGCCCTCGAAGCCGTCCGTCGTCACATAAAGGTAGTATGTGTTGTCAAAGACGGCAATGTTCGGGTCGGCCCAGAGACCAGGGAGCACGGGGCTCCGCATCTCCACGGCCGAGAGAGTCCACTCGCTTGTTGAACCATCGCTGTTTGTTATCGTGTAAACCACCTTGGAAGATAGATTCACCGCCGTGCCGGACTCGGGCGAGGCACGGACACCGTCGGCCGTGACGAAGGTGGGGACGAGATTTGTAACATCGGTGCCTGGGACGACAGGATAGATGACGGTGCGGAGCGTTTCGTTGACGATCGGGTCAACCTTGAGCAGGGATCGGTCGGCTAGTCAGAACTGGCTGACTGGCTCTGCAGCCTGTCGGATAGTTTTGGAGTTCTTGGATCGGCGAGCCCGGCGGTTGCTAAGAGCGGTGACAAGAGCCTGGTGCTCAGCGGCCGTCACGCCAATAACGGTACCGTGGCGCGGGCTCGTAGGCAGGCTGTACGATGCAGAAACCTTCCATTCGGGGTTGTTCAGATCAGTCGTCTCGAGGGGAATGTAGCCCCGGCCACCATACTCGTCGGCAAAGAGGTAGAACTTGTCGCCGTTGACGTCGTTGGGGTTGGACCGGAAAGCGGTCGGGCCTTCAACAGCACTGAGACCAGCATCGCGTCCGATGCAGCTGGCCTGGGTCGTCCAGCCGTCCATGCCTGCAAGCAGGGAGTCGGAAGTCTCCTGGATGATGTCCCTGCACCCGGTGGCGGAGCCCTCATCTTTGGTGAAGCGGTAGAGAACACCGTTAGCCTGGAGGACGGTCGTGTCGATGCGGGCGTCTCCGGCATCCTGCCAGATCTTGGGCTCGGAAAAGGTGACAAAGTCGCGCGTCAAAGAGTAGAGCATGCGGTGATACGTGCTGCCCGTGTGCTGGGGATCGTTCTCGGCATAGAGCGAAGAGGCCCAGAAGACGGCGTAGGAGCCGCTCTCGGCGTCCCAAAAGGCCTCAGGTGCCCACGTGTTGCCGGCCGTCTCGGGAGAGACGAGGATGTGGCGCTGCTCAGACCAGTTGATGAGGTCATTTGATTCCCAGACCTCGAGGTAGAGGCTGCCCTGGCGGACCGCGGCGTCCCAAGACGTGCCGCTGCCGATGGAGAGGTCGGTAGCGATCATGTAAAAGGTATCGCCCTCGGGCGAACGGATGATGAAGGGGTCTCGCAGACCCTTGGTGCCATATTTTGACCGTAGAACGGGCTGGCCTCCGTTCAGTTCCTGCCAGGAGAGCGCATCGTTACCGTTGCTCGCGGCGAAAAAGATGTTCTCGCCCTCGAGGCTGGAGCCGGTGAAGTAGGAAAAGGCGTAAGCCTCGAAAGCATCAAGCTGGACGGCTTGACGAACCGAGGCGTTAAACTGGCGCTCGTGCTGAGCCCCCTCGAATTCAACAGAAGCCGTCAAAACGACCTCCTCAGTTGCAGACTGGCGCTTCACAACGCCGTCTGTCGCCAGCACATCGGCATTACTGCTGTGCCAGGTGATGGCAAGACCATCCGCCTCGGTGGGGAGGTGAATGTTTCCGCGGACGTCGCCAATGTTGACAAGTGACAGCGCGGCCAGAGCCTCTTCAGCGCGAGCTGCGAGACTGACGTCGGCCAGGGCCAAAAGAAGAAGAGGCGACGAAAAGGGCGAGCGGAGCTGCATACTGGGCTAGTGTTGCTGGAGATGTAGTACTTTGCTGGAGGGGGAAAGTTGGGCCAGATGCTGAAAGACAGCCCGCCGAGGCAGGTCTTCTTATACGTGACTCAACATGAGGTCGATCGTGTTGCCTTGGAGCAAGGAGTCGTCAATTACGAGCGAGCCAGTCTGCGCGACGGTGTAGATGGCACCGAGAAGCGCTCGGCCGACGCGGCGTCTTGACCATGGGAACAGGGAAGCTGTACCGAGCGCCACCACGGACAGACAAGCGTGAATGCGAAGTGTACGGGTCGTGGCCGATATCCCCGCAAAAGCGCCCCCCGCGATGGCGGACGTGCCTTGGTCGTAGGCCTAAGAGCTAATCGAACGGGCTAGTCTGGTTAGAATGCGGGGACGTGAAGTGCCGTCCGGGGAGGGCCAGGTACAAAATCGGCTCTTCCCCCGCAGGCCAAGTGGTAGCATGGCGGAACAAATGCCTTTAGGGCAGTGCTGTTATCCCGAATCCGGGCCGGGAAGGTGCTCGAATCAGGCGATGCATGCTTCCAATTTCGCGCTCAAATGAGGGGTGGTGATGTCAGGGCGCGGCCAAGTGATCGGCATGATGATCTTCTGGAGGAGTCAATTGCTCTTTTTTGATCACGAGCCGGAGCCTAAGTGAACTTCAACCGGTGGGGCTCAAGCGCTCGAATCAGGTTGCAGAGCGGGGGCTTTGCGCGTGTGCATGGTCGTCAGAGTTGTCCAGTATCCCCGGCATGGTTTCTGAGTCGAGAGGCCATGATCGTGAAGCCACGGACTCGGTTGTTGTGGAGGAGGAGGAATCGCTTTTGCTGGTGCCGGCAGTCGGATGGAGCAGCCAAGCTGCCTGGTTAAGATGGCAGGCAAGGATAATTGTTGAGCCGATACTTTCTTTCTCTTCTTTCCCCTCCCTACAGGGACCAGGTCGGTGGCTGTTTCCTTCTACGCCTTTGCGCAATCAACTCCTGCCGTGCTAGGAAAGGTAACATCCCACCTAAAAGTATGCCGCGGGATCTGCTGTAAGCTCCCTTACTCTGTATCCCATACTGGTGTCGCTTCAAGTGTCTACATTGTCACTGGCCTTGGCACGGAAACTTAACAACCAGCTACGCCGACGTTGTTGCCGCCTAGTCACTACGAGACTTGTGCACCCTACCTACAAGCCTGATGCACTGCGGCTTCAGTCTCCAGTGCCTATGGCCGTATGGATATCTTACTCCATGTCGGCACCGAGAAGTAGCCTTCGCAGACTGAACCACTCTAGGCAGTCTCAGAACTCATGCGAGAGGATGATGTTGGAAGGCAAGCATCGTGCAAGGCTGAGTGAGATGTGCCGTTGATGACACCGCCACCGTTGATGTCAGGTGACATGCTCAGTCACTGCAATGTCTTGGTAAGCATACTAAGCCAATGAAAACAAATCGCACGCTGACACACCTTTTGTAGATTCGGAGCCCAACGATTCTCCAGTCGTGTGTGAGGGACATTTACAGTACAGTCCGTAAGGGATGTTCTGGTGACCAGACCCCGCGCTATTACCACTGCTTCAGGTGCCTCGACGACATGTAACGAGGGGGTTGTGAACTACGACCTTGGAGTCAGACGAGCAAGTTTCACTGCAACCCATAATGTCTTGCCAACAGACACGACCAATCTGATCATCGACCAAAACCCCGGGAACTAGTTCACGACCGGAATGGAACCCTGACAAGTGCAGTGACAGTCATGCCGTCTCCCTCTCAAGTTCTAGCCCATTAACTTTCCCGGACCGCAAGTGAGATATGGGCACATGGTGGAAGACGAATCTACACTCTAAAAGTCAACCAAAGCCCGAGGGAATCACGATGTAGAGGCAGACGGCCTTCGTCGCCCAACATGGCAGCGCTCTCTGAAAACCGAGTTGGATGTCATGGCGATGGAAACCACGTCAGTCATTGACACTTATGCCTCACGGCCGAAAAAGTCGCAACTTAAAGACTCTAGGCTAGGCACCGGCGTCGCAGGCCCGCAAACCTCGACTTTGAGTGACGCGGCGCAGTGTGCGCGGCAAGCGATCCACATCACTATCAGAACGGTCCAGACCTGAAGAGGCCGATACGGAGCACTATTTGCCTGTGGTAGAGTAGCAAGCTTCCAGCGCCATGACACGAGTCGAAATTCCGATGGGTGACATAGGCAAGACGCACCCAGTGCTCATCAGGTGCAGCAGTGGTTGGAAAAGGTTGATGTCCAGTCTTCCCTCCTGAATGATGCCCCAGCGCCGAAGCTATTGGCTGTAGATGGTGGGTGGTGATCCAGCAAGGAATAGTACCTCATGGACGAAGGAAGCGGCAGAGGAGAGATATCATCAGGAAAGATTCTCAAAAATGTGGTGTGGTGAGTGACGTGGGACAAGCGCTGTACGTGAGTGATTGGGGTTCTTGTTGGGATGGGGGCGACGCTTGATGCTGCTGGCGACGTTGGCTTGCGTTGTTCGTTCGCCTGTGGTCGAACCTCTGTCGAGCGAAGGGGGCCGTCTCTGGTGGGGGTGGAATGACGAATGTTGGCTGCGGACGATTGGCGGGCCGCGCTTGCACACAGTCAATGATGGACAGCAGGCTTTTGCTGGCAGTGGAAGCTTCGGAGGGTCCGTGATGGGGGCAAGATCGCCGTGCATCTTGTTGGCAGTGGTAATATGTGGCTTGAAGTAATGGTGGTACTTGTACATGTAGTGACGGCAGTGCTGGTGTCCTTTCGAGCCTCTAAACTTTGTTGTTAATGCATTGCTAGATAATCGCTGGTTATTGATATTGCGATTGGCATTCGGGGCGGGATGTTCGACATGGATATATTTCTATAATTGAAAATCGGCTTCTAGACGAAGCCGGCCAGGCCTCGTTCCCATGACCAACGCCAGTACGTCAGTCAGTGAAAGGTGTGCCTGCAGCTCTCGCGACTGCAAGGAAGATGGCATGAAGTTCATTCCGGGCATGCAGAGGATGAGCAGGTCAGCAGCATGGGTGGTGTTTTGGAGGTCCACTGCGCAGCCAGTAGAAAGGCGGCAAAGATGTCCTCACCCACGCAATCGAAACTCGTTGGAATGCAGAAGCCCGAGTGACATGGGCCAGAGGTTCCGTCATTGTGCGGGCCGAGTGAACAGGGGGACCAGATTGACTCAAGTCGACCCAATTTTCGGTGGGCCAGGCAGTGCAAGAGATTATCTATAGACAAAGTGAAGACAAAGGTCCGACAAAGAGATCGAGCTCATCTTGGGTGCCTTCTCCCCAGGACAACGTTGCCCCCAGGGCCTCGAATCGAGAGAGAGGGTCGCTGTGGCTTGGGTAAAAATAAAAAGCTTGTGTGTGCTGGCAACCGTTTCCACCGCAAGTGGCTTGCTTGCTTGACGTGCGAACGACTGCAGAATTGTTTTTCTTGTGTTCCCCCCAAGTGTCAGGAGTGATTCGACACTCGCAGGCGCTCTGCATGTCCTGCACTCCCACAGACAGAGAGGGTGCCTGGCAGCCAGGGCAGCGGTTTGGAAAGCCAATCAACGACTCCCAACCTGCAAAGGTGGACCAAGAATACGAGAATGGAAGCACCTGGTGGCCCACCCAAGCCGCTGGACCAACGGCACTAAGGACGGCTACGGGGGGCCTAGCGCTGTAACGGGACCGCCTAGACTGCACAGTCTTGACAGTGCTCCTCGTCAGCTGCGCATGCGCCTCCACTCTCCCACACCCCCGAGAGAATTCTCTCCGTGCGCTCCGCCTGTCCTGTCAAAGTCCTACGCTGCCCGACTTGCCTCACCTTGTTCATCCCTCTCACCACTCTCCGCCCCTACCCATTCATGTCCACGCGACAGTAAACTTCTTCTTTGATTGTTTCCTTCCCTATCCCCCCCTGCTTCGGCTTCCCTACACTCGCTCTCACCCCATTTCTAATATACTTTTTTTTTATTGTTCAGCCCTTCGGCTCTATCACGCCGTCGTCAAGGCATCCGTCAATAGCCATACCACGCGCCCGAACTTTCGCCCCTTCCGTCGCTTTGTCACCATCGCCTCGAGTCTGAGTTGTCGACCCTCCTCTCGAACCCAGACATCGGGCGTTGTTTGCCCGCAGACGGCCCCTGAAGCCTCGATACATCTACTCGGCGATAGACATCACCCACAATGTACGCCATTCGGTTGATGCACCTTCTCCTGGCGACCCTCGGCTTCATCGCCGTCGCCCAGGGTGTCCTGCCCAACGTCGAGGGATCCAACCAGAATGACGTGGTCAGGCGGCAGGATACAGGCGGCTCTCCCAGTGTAGTGCCCGAGGCGTCGACTCCCGTCGTACCCTCTGCCTCGCCGTCCACAGCAGCCCAGCAGACGACGACGAGCGCCGCCGAAACCACCACCACGCCTCCCACCACGAGCTCCTCCCCTGCGACCACAGTCCCGAGCACAACTCCTGCTACTTCCACTCCGGCTACCTCCGCCAACGGAGGCGGCGCTGACACCACCTCCACGCCCGCCCCCTCGGCCTCTCCCTCCAGCGGCCAGTCTGCCCCCACATCCAGCGCCCAGGATAACAATAACAACAACAATGACAACAGCAACAACAACGACAACACTACGAATGGAAGCGACAACGAGACCACCACGGCTGCTGACGCTCAGACTACCGCCGAGCCCGTCACCTCGACCGTTAAGACCGTCTTTGTGACAACCAACGCCCAGGGCGAGACGACTTCCATGACCTCCGAGAGCGTCGTGGTCAGCACCCCCGGCCTGTCCGATAACGACAACAACGGCGGCAGCGGCGGCGGCATGCCCACCAAGACTCGCAACATTGTCATTGGCGTTGTTGTCGGTGTCGGTGGTGCCATTATTCTCGGTGCTCTGGCTTTCGTCGGCTTCCGTATCCACAACCGCAAGAAGAGGCAGGAGGAGAATGACGGCCTGATGGACTACAACACTGCTGGCACCAGCGCTTTCAACAGCGAGCCCAAGTCTGATGCCATGTCTGGCACCACTGCCAACAACAACCGTTCGCCCTTCCAGACCAACCTTGAGAGCTACCACCAACCGACGCAAGTGAATGCTTCGTCCAACTTCTGAGCTATCCGGCCAGATCCACGGTGCAACTGGAAGAGGACACGATGGAGTGGAATTTTGATGAGCTGAACCTGTGGATGACGTTGCGGCACGGAACTCGGAAGACATGAGTCTGTCTGAAGACTCCGCATCGGGACGTTGTCCCTGCAAGGTCGAGCGGATGGGGAGTTCATTGGGTTTGAATCTTGTTTTGGTCACACTTCGACATTTGGCAACATAAGCATGTTTCATCTTGAACACTGGGTAATCGATAGACTGCGCACCTAGCGGGCATTTTCTTTTTTCTTCCGCATTTCCACATACCCGGCCGACTTGAGCTCATAGTCTTTGTCCCGTGGAGCGCTTCGGAGGTCGTCTCCGAACCCTGAGTTCATGA